CCTTTGCCTCCCGCCCCCCCCCCCGCCCCCCCCCTGATACAGAGGCGGTGGGGGAGAGGAGAGGAATGTGAGCAGTCGAGTAGTCCAGTGTTTCTCAACCAGTGGTACAAGTACCCATGGGGTACTCGAGAGAAGTCTGGGGAGGGGGGTACGTCAACACAACTGAAATGTGGAGAAAACTGAATTTGTGTGTTAAGTTTTACAGCTTTTTATTATTTTTGTACTTTTTACACCCAGAAATGTCATTGTCCAGCCCGGCTACGATTAAGTTGTTTAAACAAATGTGTTGCAATGGCAGAAAAAAATTATGTGTGTCTGAAACTGTAGGTACTGGGGGTACTTCTAATTTTTTTTTATGGGGTACTTTATAAAAATAGGTTGAGAAACACTGGAGTAGTCGACTTGACCGCCCGATAAGCCTGTACTTGACTACTTGCTTCCATCCCTAACCTAGACAGGGCTGAAGTTACCTACAGGGCAGGTAGACGTATGTTGCCCAGTTGCCCCGCTCGTGGGGAAAGTTGCGTACTCGTCCGCCATGCTTGGTGTTGTCATCCGTGAACTCCTCTTCCTGGTCCCTGAACATGTTTAGCACGCTGTCTGGCACCGGGAGGCGAGGAAGCGGCATGCTGCAGGAAAGTTGGGGGGAGAAAGGAGGAAATTAGCGTGCATGGCCACCCTGAGAAACACGTGTCCTTGGCCAGGTGCACCACAGACAACTGCGGGTCCTTCCCCTTTTGCACAGACATGCAAAGGGTTCTGGAGCCAGGGAGGGTTCCCCCTTTCTCAGTGCAAGCACCTCCGTCTCTCAGTGCCAGTCCCCTGGTGCAGGGCAGCTGACCTGTCAAACCTACTCAGGACACAATCGGGCACAGCCATCAGGCCACCTTGCCAAGATCCAGAAATAAACTAGCCAGGGCCATGGGGGCTGGGAAGGGGGAGTCCAGGCCTAGCTTAGGAAGTCCTGCCAGTCAGGACTGGGGAGGGGCCAGCAGGTCTTCCGAAGTGGATTAAAGTGAACGCCGCAAGGGTGCGCCCAAGAAGAGTGAGGGCAGGGGGCGTGAATAGATACCGCAGTGCTCAGTGTGCACCCAGCTTATTCCACAAACCAATCCCTTGTAGACAGGCCTTAGATCGGCCAACCTGCAGCGCCTCCCGATTCCCGCAGGCCCGGACTCGGCTACCACACAACCACCAGTAGGGGCCA